TCAATATTTAATCGTAATTGATAGTAATGAGAAGAAAATTTTTTAAGAATTTAGAGAGAAATGTTGAAAAAATTCTATCTTTTTAATCTTTTATTTTAATTTTTAAAAACAAAGCTTTGGAAACTTACCAAACATCCTTTCTAATCACTCGTTTAGCCAAAATTTTGCAAAGTAATTTATGAAGAAAACTCCTTCGTTATAAAGAATTCTTTTTATTTGGAAACGGAAAATCATTACAATAAACTGCAATTAAAAAATCTAGCACAATAGGAAAAATATCACATCTTTTTAAATTGCTCACATTTTTTCCTTCATAGTTTTAGTTCACCTTGGTTCACTGCATAGAAATAAGGCTAAAATTTAAATTAGCCGCAAGAAATATCGACTTTTATCTTTAAGGAGTTGTTTCATACAACAAATAGTTCTGTATAAAGAGTTATCAAGAGTTTCTCTTATATAAGCAGTGTTTGAGCGTACATAATCATAATCATCAATAATAATCATCAATTTTCAAAAAAAAATGTTTTTATTCGTTGTAGAGCATAATAAAATATAAAAATAATAATCATCGAAATTATCGCCACAAAGGGTGCAAACCTATGAAAATCAAAAAATTCAAACGATCAAAAAAGTGCTTATATGATCAATATTTGAATAAAATCTAAGGTTTATTTCTACAAGAGAAATTTAAGCACTGTTTAGTTTATGTTTCGGTGATTATGCTAAAATGTGGAAACGGAATGTATTCTGCCTATAGAAGAAATAGTTCGATTTATCCATTATGATTGATTAGTCAGCAATATTATATCACAATATCCACAATTATCATTATAGATCACTTTGATGAAGACTTATGATGTTAGTCCTTTTCTAAATTTTCAGTGTTTATTTGGTTAATAATGAGAGCGAATACAGTTTACTAAACTTTGAGAAATTCGCAGTATTAACTAAGATTATATTTCATTTTCGCTCAAGCAATGGAAAAAAAAAATGTTCAAAAAAAAGAATAAATGGAATGAAAGTAATTTCGAAAGAATAAACTGAATAAATGGTGGAATAAACGATCCCAAATTTTGGATGGTATAATTTTTTTTAGGAGTCCTCACCATTACCAGTTAAACTCGCTCCACTGACTTGTCGCATTGGGCAGTATGCCAGGGAGTCTCTTGGCGATACAAATACAGGTGAGTGGCCAGCATCATTCGGATTTTTGTACAGGTTTACTCCTGCGGGGAATCGAACCTCAGCATCGGCGCTCCCAATTATGTAACAACCCACTAAGCCATTCTAACCCCGTATTGTATAATTATGGAACAAAGAAATGCAGTGAGATTTTTATAACGGGTTTTAAAATTATGAAGGATTAAATAATAAAACTTATGCAACCTAAATTTTTTCGGGAAATTTCAAAGAACGGCTAGGTATGAGATTTTTTTCAATTTTTTCCCTTCACTAATTGTTGAATTGTTGCTTATTTTAAAAAGGGAAAAAACAAATTACAAGTATTAATCGCAGACATAAAATAAATAAACCATGAGCAATTCGAGCGATAAATGAAAATGATGATATTGATATTCAGGAACTCTTGATGATGAAAAAAAGAGTGAAAAATCAAGAAACTTTGACAAGTACAAGATCATAACAAGAGCAATTCAAGCATGAAAGCATTAATCTTTACATCACACCCAAATATTGTTGAAAGCCGCTTATTTATGCTCCGTTTGATCATATGAAAATAAAAACGCTTTTTGATCAAATATAGCAAATTTATAGAAGATAACAGAAGAATTAATTTCTTAAAGAGCCGTTTTACGTAAAAAAATTTGGAAGGTTAATGGTTTTAAGTGATTTTAATGAATCGTGAATATGTTAGTTATTTGGTTAAATTGCATGCTTAGATCAATTAATTTCGTTGAAATGAAAAAAATTAATATGACCATATTTCGAGCGATAAGTTTTTAAACTTTTAAGTATGAAATCTGAATGGAGTTTTCCTGGAAAAACTTTTCGCAATCGAAGAGCGATCTAAGAGTTTATCTTTACAGTCTTACGTTTTTCATCTCGAATAGATATTTTAATTTGCCTTAAAAATGGCGTGAATTTTTTATAAGCCTCCCACTATTTTTTTCATATTTTCAGTCTTATATGACATGACTAAAGATTTCCCAAATTAAATTTAAAATTTCAAGTTGAAATTAAAATTTCTTTTTAATTCTGTTTTATAAGTCGGCAATCATTCCTACTATCATGTAAACTGATTGCAACAATTACCATGAAAACGTTACCATGAAGATTAAGTGAATTCAACACACCTAAATTAAGAAGGATAGCAACTTTACTTATTCTCATCCTAAATCCTATTTCTTATATATTTGCCACACCAAAATTCGTTAAATATCCATACAGCTATTGTTAACAAGAAAACACAATACTGATGAATGATGCAAGGAAATTTTAGAAGATATTGAAATTCATTTAAAATATAAAATATGTGAGAAAAGTTTTTATCAAGGAATCCTCCATTTCGAATCAATAATCGCTGGGTTCTTATAATCTCTAAGACAATCTAAGACAAAGGTAAAACTATATGCTGATAAGAAATTTGAATGAGAATAAGAATATTAAATAATAAATTAATAAATATTAAAAACAAATTAAATGGTGAAAAAACGAAGTAAAAATTTTTGTCTCATTTAGTAAATCCGATAATTTTGCCGGAAATATCGAGAAAGAAAAATTCGAAAAACAAGCTTCAGAGATAAAGAAAGAAGAGAAGGATAATACTGGGTCAAATTCCCAAAGTTAACTCGATGATTACCGAAAAAAATTTATATCAGATCGAAGAAAATGGCAGAAATTGACAACAATTACATGGAAAAGTCAAAATTATATAAGTAAATATAAGACGAGCAGATAAAAATTGAAAGATTTTGAAAACTATGAATTTATAAAGAAACTATGAAGAGAATTATTTCGAAAGCTATCTAACCAGTAATAACATACACTATTGCCTATAAACCTAAATCCTAAGAATGAACTTATTGAATGACGTGAATAGAGGAAAGGATTATAAACACATATCGAGAGAGGGCCTAGAAGATGAAGTATTAACAAGACAGGGACTAACATTTAAAGGAACTAACTAATATGATCTTGGAATCCAGCAACAAATAGCAAAACAAAATATAAAAATAGAAAAGGCATTTCTTTTTCATTTTTCAACCAAATAGCAAAACAAATTATAAAAATAGAAAAGGCATTTCTTTTTCATTTTTCAACAAGAATTCTTGAAACAATTCAGTTTAATCAAAAACCGTTATAATAAAAACCTGACCTTTTTATTATTGATAATGATTATCATATGAATCATTTCTTTGAATTTATCATTAAAATAACAATGAAGTTATGGCTTCGAGATAATTTGAAATTAGAAATTTGCCAAAAAAATAAGAAAATAAAGATCCAATAAAAAATAGAGAAAAAAAAGAAAATGCACAGCGCCATATCCCATTTTTATTTTTCCCTAAACATAAAATAGATAAAACGGGTAATGGATAAAACTATATGCTTGATTTATCGAACAAACAACCACAGCCTAAACGGTTTGCTGATTACAGCATTGATTTACCATAGCCGATATTGGCCAAATATAGCTTTCTGATGAACAACTAATGATCTACTGGAATCAATATATGTAATGCTTTCAAATTTTAATGATTTTAAAAGAATCGATCTAATATAGGGGATAAGGAAAACACTTGTTTTTCCCTCTCATTCACTTCTATGACTATTATTGGATTAACTAATTTAATAAAACCTGGAGAATTAAACCAATAATATGACACAGCCGAAACATTAAAGAACTTAATCGAAGATTTGTCAAAATGAAAATATTTTCATCAGAACTAGGAAACAACAGCTGATGAGCAGTTTGCGTAAGGATCTTTGACAGAATTCAGTGAAAAAGGATCAATTTCAAAAATAAAAAATATTCAAAAACAAAATCACATTAACAAATATTTTGCATAAATTGCTATTTATAATTACTATAAACGAGCGTCGTTTATCCATTGTTATCGACAAAAAAAAATTACATTGGCATCTACTAATTTGCAAAAATGAACGCAATTTAATACCATCCTTTTTAAAAACCTCTCGCTATTATTGGTTAGACTCGCTCCTCTGGTTTCTCGCACTAAACAAATATGTCAGGGAATCCTCTGGCGATAGAAATACAGGTAAGCCGCCAACATCACGCGGATTTTGGACAGGTTTACTCCTGCGATTTAATAACACGATTATGGTAATAGGTTGTAATTTGCTTGTAGAAAAGCTATCTATCTTTTCAGCCAAATTTCTACGATAAAATTTGAAGTAGCGTTGTGATAAAAAATTTTAGGGCTTTTTAAATCCCTTTGCTAAATTTTCATGGTACTCCTTATTATCAAATTTGGAATCTTTTCTCGCAGTTATCTGCCATATCTACTTAAACGGTCACACGATAAATCATATTATGATCGCTTTTTTATTCTATTCGTTAGTCTAACTTCTTTTATTCCACCAAAATTTTTGGGTACTGTATCTCGTATTTCGCTCTTAAAATTTTGAAAATTGAGCAAAAGCGTTCAAATAAAATGATGAAAAAATAGGCTGCATTATTCGGCAGATTTAGTGGTTCACCAGATGCTGCGATGCAGTGAAAGGATGATGATTCGCTGATCAAAAAAATATTTTAATAAAGTACAACAATTTAAAGATTTACTATTTATATAGTTAAAAAAACTAATCTTGGAACATATAATATTATTTCTTTAGATTTGGATTTCAGAATCACAATTGCAGAGTAATATTGCATAGAAATGGTAAAAATTTTTGAACAATAAAATATCGGTCGTCATATTGATGTGGCAAGAATAACTGAAATAATGCATTTCAAGCTTGAATTAAGATGAAAAAAATATCATGAACTGGACTGTAGTACATTTATAAAGTAATGACTATCAATCACGTTTTATGCTCATCCATTTAGTAGGTACTGCGACTAACCACTTATCATCATCGTCATCATCTTCCGAATAACATGATAATGATGGTGTTTTTTTCTCTCCAATAGTGAATAAAAAACGAGGAAAATCAGCGGGGTTCAATATTGGACTAGCAATAGATGGCTGGAAAATTGTTATAAAGAAAATTTTCTCAGTTTTGAATTGCACAAATTATTTTTAAAAATTGTTATTGGCCTAATTCGATACGAAAATTTATAAAATTATTATTCGCTTAATTCGATATAGTTTCGCTATTTTTTCATAAATCTTTTAGCCCCCTGTTTTACTAAATAAATTCAGCCAAATTTAGTTCAGCATCTCTCTCTTTCTAATTCTATATTTTACGTTTTTTGGCGATATTTTTTCACAAGACGTCGGTTCTTTAGTAGAATAAAAAAATTTTTTTGTGCCTGCTCTCATCCTTAGAAGAGTAGCAGTTTCCTAGACTCCCTCTTCAGAAAAAATGAATATTCAGTTAATAATGATTTTTTTCTCTCTAGTAGTGAATTAAAAATTGCAAAATTTCTGATTATTGATGAACTGATGGCAAAAAGTGGTTGAAAAATGTGATACATCTTTCAGCTAGTTAAAAATTAGCAATTATTATATTAACGCGTCATAACAATGATAAATAAGCATTAAAGAGAATAAATATATGAGAAAGAGAAAGAACTCTTCAATCATTAGCAACAGAAGACGAATTCTTTTACGAATGAACTATGCTTTCTTAGTTGTGGTGACAATATGCTTTACATTAGCCATGAATAAAAACATATATTTATGGCGTATAATAATAATTTCTCTACATAAGCACATGAAAGCAACCCATTCAGCGGTTGATATCCCAGGTAGTGGAACAGGAATTTTATGAACGAGTGTTGTGTTGCTCGGAAATCCGGATAATACAGAGCATTCCTGCCCGAAAGCATCCTAGTTCAAATCTAGTAGCCAATGAAACCAACCAGATCAGAAGCGATGACAGCTGCTAAAAGATGGCCAATCATGTTGGTTGCAACTGGAGGATTATAATGGGTTATGAATAAATTCAGACATATCGCACTAATACCGTGCACTTTGAGGAACCCTAAAGTCTCTATTACGCTAAAGGAGGATGAATTTTAATCGTGATGATTGTAAATAACATGTTCAGTTAATTAGTAAACATGAAACGTTGATCATACTTAAAAGAAAGAAATTTCTCATATTTTTTATTTTAATGCGAGTGTTGATGACATGTGATGTAAATTATTCACCACTCACTCATTAGTAAAATCGTATTAATAAAGGATTATAATTTTATATTATATTATTATTCGCACTTATATCCGCAGATTATTATTGGATTGGATCAGTTCATAACAACAACTCTGGCTGTGTATATTAATAGCTGGCAAGGAATATTGAGTAATATATATATAATTTATTCACATATATTTGACAGTATAGCGATTATTAGCTATAAAAAAAAAGATTTGCCTTTAATTATCATTGAAATTACTGATGGTTATTCGAATTGTTGCAATTGTTCCATAAGAAAAAAACGATGGCAGGTGACTTCATAAAAATCGCTGTCTTCTTTAAAATATTGTACTTTTTGTAAAGATAGAAAACGTCGGAACATTATGCAGATTCGAAATTCATGCTTATTAGGAGTTCATCGAACATTGATTACACACTTATCTAAATTTATTAACTAATGGGATGAAGTAGGGCATTGGCTAAAAAATCGCTTAAGAATAGAAGCATAGATCAGACCTAACCGGATTTCACTTTTCTATTTTTCACTCTTATTTATTTTCTATTCCCGTCAAGGCACATACTTGGACTCAACTGAAGCAAAGTACCATTCCACCTTTGTGCCACCGTATTGGCTGAAAACACATTGTAAGAAATCAACCTTTGCAATCAGCAAACAAAAAAAGGAAAATTATAAATAAATCATGCATTGTTGCGAATTGGAGATAAGATTTAAACAATTTATAAAAATAATTTATGAAATTTATGAGTTTATAATCCATAAGAAATTTTTAGGAGGCGAAAAAGTGCGGTGTGAATTCAGTGAAATACTAATTTATCACAAACAACAAAGGAAGGACCTCTCTAATAATGTAAAGCGAGCAATTAATTATGCGATGCGAATTGTTCAACGAAGTGAATAAATTAATCAGATGTACTTATAATAACGCGTAAGCGTAAGGACTAAAATGTTCGATAAGATTCGGTAAAAATTCGAAATTCATTATGGGATTTCAAGTTTATCCACTTTCAAGTTGGTTCTAAAGTATGATTCTGATAATTTCTTTAAATAAAGAACAATGGCTGCAATTTAAGGACGATCTGAACAACCAAAAAATCTTTCTAAGCCATTAAATCAATGTTTTTTTTTCGCTCATAAATAATTTCATCAGAGGTAATGCCAGTTAATTATGAAATCAATAATTAGCCTGAATATCCCTATTGCTGAAATTTATATTCTCTAAATGGAAGTCATCAAATGAAGTCACACTACATGCTTTTTTCTAAAGATGGTTTAAATTATTAAAAAAAAAAAGGATTTTATGTTTGGATTAAAAAAACTATTTGATTTGATATTTAAAAATAAGGCTGTGGCTTATTATGGCCTGAATAGTCCTCTCTTCCTGTTTTCTTAACAGATTGAACCATTACTAGTTAGGATAGCTCTGCCGGCTATAAAGGTGCTCGCAAGCCGCTCGATCCGATGCCATGCCTAAGATTGGAAGAAGCCAAACCTTTTTCCATCCTCTAATATATCGCTGTCACATGGGTTCAAATCTTTTCTGACTTTGTCTGTTCAGGTCTTAATTGGTCTACCTAGCTTTCGACTCCCCTATCGGAGAGTTAGCAAACAGAGAGATATGCGTGACAGTATTTTCAATGCAAACACAACTTGAACGAAAGTGAATGAGGAACAACGTAGGATTACATAATATTAGTGAAACAGCCTAATACTAATATTAACTAAAAAAAAAACTATGGAAGATTCGATAGATCAAATAATAATGAAAGCGCATGCGCATATGAAAAAAAAATTGATCATCCTTCTAAAATTTATAGAAAATTGAATTGAACTCGAAACGGATGGCGAATTGATTAAGGAACTAGCAGATATTGTTATTATTTATGAGGCATCATTTTAAACATTCATATAAATTATGTTCCAAGCAATCTCGCAATTAGAGTTCTATTTGAAGCTGGAGGAATAAATAAATTGGAAAAGTAAGGTAGAAATTATCGATTGTATTAATGCCAGTAGAATGGTTACATCTCATAAATTTTCAAATTATGTTTATAAAAGGATGTAAAAGCGACGTCATTTGATAAAGAAATTTTATTTTCCTCTAAAAGCCATCAAATGTCCAAAAACCAACTGAAAAAAAATTATAGTGGAAACAAATCCCCTACAAAAAATTTAGTCAAAAATTAAATTTAGCTTAAAATATTCTATTCTATTTAATAAAGACAAGAAAAGAGGTGGTAAGTTGTATAATTTTTTTGAAAGAGAAAATAAAAATTTGAGAAGGTTAAAGTTTCAATGTTTAATAAAATAATGAATTCAGAAACATGCCAATGTAACCAATTGCAAGGCAATATTTGCTAGAATTTATGAACAATTTAAAAGCAAATCATGTGTAAAAAGTTTCGGCATGGCTTGATAACACTATTTAAAATCTTTTATAGGAAATGTAGCAAGATTTCAGCTCAGGAAAATATAAAAAATAAGAGGACTAGACGAATTTTGCACCAGTGTCGTAGAGTGCAAGTAGCAGCATCACATTTGAGCTATGATGCTGCTGGCACATATTAACGTTTCCCAAAAAGGCATATCTAAATCCTCAACCTATTATAAAGAACATCTATGAAATGAAATTGAAAACCACTTTTTTGTCTCGATGAACCTTTAAAAACAGAACTGCTTTATTTGCGAGCATTTATTATTCTCTTGGGTTAAACAAAAATGTTATTCATAATTTGTGCGAAAATTATGAAATTTAATAATATTGTGCTCATTTATATACTTGTTAAGCTAGAATTCTGTTGCTAGTCTAGTTGGTCTTTAATGAGAAAGGCATCTGAAAATATTTACAATTTCAGATTTCAGATTTTACAATTTTTTTTTATTCAGTTGAATGAATTTTACATATTTTAGAATTAAGGATGACAAATTACCCAAGCAAAACGACGATGAAGCTTGATATGCAAGAATACAACAACGGTAGGATAACCAAGTAGATAGTCCTTTAGATTACTGTGTTGAGAGGCAATGCACTGCTCTTGTCTTCGACAGGAATAATTCTGTTGACAAAAAATCCAAGCAGTGTGGACAAGCCATTTATGTTTCTATCAAATGATTCCTTGGTAAAAATTTCAAACCGTACTAACAACCAACGGAGATATCCTAAACAGAAATGGTGCGTAATTTTTTAAATAATTTAATTTAAAACATAAAAATGTAAAAATTTTGAAAATTTTAAAAATCATGGTGAAAAATTGGCACGGATTCCAAAAAGCAAGGTTAAGGAGAAATTTCACTCTTCCTTTATTTTTTTGTTAGCGTCTTAAGCACTTTAAGAACTTGTTTCATAGCGTTTTCATGTCGAGAATTTTCGTTCCACAGATGGGCGATTGCTAAATTTTTCAATCCGTTTGAAAAGGTTGTGAAAGTGATACAACTTAAAAATAAATGGCTCACAGGCATTTCATGGAAAGATTACAGCGATAAATCATAAACTTATGGCTTCAGTGTACCACCAGTGCACTATTTTAAATAGGAAATATCTCCATTTTTTAATTTCATTTCAATTTTCCCTTGTTAAGCATCGCTAATGGGAACATTGAAATTTATGATTCATCTATAATCTGCTTACTATTATCAGCTAATTATTAGCATCTAGTAAATACCATGTGTGCGAATTATCTGAAGATTTTTTCAGAAATCATCAATCATGAACCATTTAAGAGTCATCCTCGCTTTGATTTTATTGACACCAATAATGACCATAAATATCCGGTGACCGACGATGATGTGACCTCCCATTCATCGCAGGCCGAACCTTCACTGTTTCATTTTTCATTTAACATTTATCCAGTGTGCTTCTTGTTCATGTTATTTTTCATCGTCCTTTCGACCATTTTTCTCACCGGTACATTTTACTTTAATTCTTAAGTAATGTAAACTCTTACAGTCATTATTCAGATTTTATCATCTGTGGTCCTTTTAGGCAAAGAAATATAGCTCAGCTCCGATTTAATAGTTCTTTTAAAAACTTTCTACCTATTAATTAAATATTCATCGTAGGTTTCCACCCCAATATAAATATGTTTAACACTTTTGAATAATCATATGCTTTTGTGAAAATGGTGAATTATGAGGTTGAAGAACCGATATTTACTTGAGATTTACTTGAGATTTTTATGGGATGGAAGTAAAAAACAAATTTAAGGACAAGTACCGGAAGTTCTACAAAACAAAGTATCGTTGAAATCAAAGGAATATGAGAAATAAGTACGAAAGCTGAACTGAGTTGACAGCATTCAATCACCAAATACCTATAGTAACTGCAGAAAAATGATACATTATATTTGCAGTCCTTCAACAGTCTTTGTCAGCTCGAATTGATTTCGCCAGAATACAGCAGCCGGTTGCTTTACCAATAAATAGCGATCATGATCAAGGTATCAGATATTAATGAAAATTTGCGAAGGTGAAAGATGGTCGCTGAATAAAAAATACTCCCACATTCATAGGCTCAACCTTCTACGAAAATCTGAATACGAGCTCCTGCAGACAGAATTTTCAAACTAGAATGAAATCGAATTTTGGCTATGAGCAATATTTTCTTTATTTATTGATTTATAAAAATTTTTTTTTTTGTTCTCATACTTACTGCAGTTATGGTGGAATTCTAGTAGCTTCTGGATTGTCAAAAAGTTTCCAGGATGATGAAGACTGAATAATGACTGAAATGTACGGGTTTGTAGGTAT